AGAGAGAGAGAGAGAGAGAGAGAGAGAGAGAGAGAGAGAGAGAGAGAGAGAGAAACTCGGTTGATCTAATCCATCGGAGAAGGTTAATTGGAATCTGTCACCGTACGTAGTTCGATTAAACTAGACGTTAATTAACGTTTGGCCTAATTTCAAAGCTACGATCATCGTTCTAATGGGTGGGTGGGTGGTTTTCTAAAGAAAATGGTTAATAGATCCGATTTTCTTTTCTCTGTCTCTTTTTTTTTCTTCTCTTCTTTTTATTTTTGTTTTTTATTCATCCCCGTTCTTCGTTAACTTTGTGTCACATCCTTTTTCTTCTTATTCTTCTTTTTCTTGTTCATTGTTCGTAATTGTGTTTTATCTGTAGAACCGTAAAAAAAATAAAAAAAAAAAATAAAAAAAATGAAACATTCAACTTCTATTATCCATTTTAAATTCTATTATCACAAATGTTCTTTATCTATGTGTTAGATTTAATCCAATTAAACGTAGGATGATTTTAATGTCGATTATATTTTTATTGACACTTATACACACACACACACATGTACATACATACATGTATCATGTTATTAGACACACATGTGCTTGCTTCATTGATATTTAATTTTTATGGAATATAATTTGTATATTTTTACTGATAAAAATTATATTGCAATTTGTGATTAATAAATAGAATTATAATAACTTATAGAGTTTGAAACAATAGTAATTTATTTTTTAAAGATTATTTCGAAATTTTTAATACCTAACAGATACCTGACTTTAATAAAAGCTTCAACAAAATCGTTTGTTCAATTTTTTACAGCTTTTTTATTTTTTCTTCTTGAAATCATCAACTTCTTTTTTTTTCTTTTTTACTTTTTCTTTGTAGTACGTGTTAAATTCCACGAATCTACCACATTTGCGGTAATATTGCTGTATATTTCGTTATTTCGTTTTTTCGTGTCCATGGTTGTGTGTTATGGTGGTTGAGGAGTGTACGTACGTTTTCATGGGGAAACAAAATGTTTGTGGTTTGTTCTGGCAGAAAGTACGGTCAATATTTAAGAGTATATGTGCGTATATATATATATATATATATATATGTGTGTGAGTGTATATGTATGTATGTGAGAAAGAAAGAAACAGAATGAGGGGTGAGAGTATAATAAGAATGGTGGTTCTTTTCGTAGGAACGATATTACTCCTCTAAAACATGGTCACCTACGTGACCGTGGAAATTACTTTGGGTTTGTCTTGTACCCACTATCATTGCACTGATATCAAACTAGATACAACCTTGTTCTAACCATTTATATATATATGTTATAAAATAAAATAAATGTCTGATGTGAAATATTTTTCTACAAATATTTAAAAGTACTTATAATATATACATCTCATTAATCAGAATAATATAATAAAATTAATGTGTTATATGTTTCTTTAATAATTAATTAATAAAAATGCAATTTTTTTTTTTATTATTATTAAAATTTGAAACAACATCAATTAAACAAAGTAACAAGTTGTACTATTACTACTCGAGAGAAACCCACGATTAAATTGTCTCTCGATTACATAGGAAGATTTCATACGTGTGTATATATATATATATATATATAGTAGGGAACAAGAGAATCGTACATTAATTGAGATATGATGAATAACAAGAGCGCATGCGTATTGTAGTATGTCGGTTACATAATTGATAAATCGTCGCTTGGTTGCACGTACTATTTGTGGAATTCGTGTTGAATTTGCTTTTAGTTCCATTAATCAACGTTAACTCTTTTGTATCTTTGAAGTTTCTCTATCTCTCTATCTCTCTCTCTCTCTCTTCTATTTAATAGTAAGTCATAAGGAATAGAAATACTCTTCATTTGTATACTGTCTTTAATCATTCAAATTAAGTGAAAAATAATAAACAATTAAATACTAAAATTATTAACTTGTTTTGACACTTCAATTAATTTTAATTAAACATACATACATTTTTATATAACTGTAATAAATATATATATATATATATATATATACATATAATGAAATGTGTGTGTGTGTCATCGATAATTATTGCAAAAGGC